CTGGCTGTACGAGTCCTACTCGCGCCTGAGCCAGCAGCACCCACTGCTCGTCTTCCTGCTGCTCATCGTCATGGGCGCCTGCCTCGCCCTGCTCGCCGTCTTCTTCGGGCTCGGGCTGGTGAGTGCCGCCCGCCCGCCAACTTTCCGGGGTCCCCGGCTCGCGCGCGCCCCCGCTCCCAGGCCGGTTGGCCCCCAGTGGGCACCCCGAGGCAGCTGCGCCCGCGCTCGGGGAGGCAGGCGGCAGTGCTGGTGCTGCCGGAGGCTCGGTCCGGGACCGAGGGCAGTGCGCGCTGAGCTAATGTCAGAGGTGCCCGGTCCGTCTTGCGCGCCGCGTCCCCGCTGGCGCTGGCTCTCCCTGGGACCTGTGGATGGCGACCCTTTCCGGCGGGGCCCTAGGGGCCCAAACTTTTGCGCCCCGTGGTATGCCGGAGGGGGCCTGTGCCGGGCATCCGTCGCCGTCCCCCCAGTTTCGGGGTGCTCGCTGGCCGGGGATGTTTCCTAGCTGAGGGACTAAGGAGGGGCCTGTTGGTGGGTGCCCCCGCCGGGAGGGGAGGGTGGGCTTAGCTGACTCAGGAGCGCAGAGAGCTGCCTCTGCCCCTGCGTGGGGCAGTTTGCCTCCGCAGCCCTGCCCAGGAGGGGTGAGGAAGGTGGGTGGGGTTCTGACGTCTCTGGGTATGAAAGCGCGCTACCCCAGTGGGCTCTTTAAAAAAACGGAAACCTCCTGTCCCTCCCCCCAGACTGTCTGCTGAACAGGGGCGCTGGTGCAGCAGAGCAGTGGCTGGCCCTTGGCCACAAACCAAAAGGTTGGGGCGGTTCTGGAGAGGGAGATGGCTTCCTAGATCCCAGCGGTGGACACCCCCTAGGGGCTACTGCTACTGTCCTGTCCTGTGGCCAGGCCACTGGGCTTGGCTTTCTGGGCCTCTGAAGAGCTCCGGCAGGGACCAGAAGCTAGAAGCGTCTGGGGGTCAGTGCCTCGGACGGCAAGCAGATGCCCCCACCGTCACCAGGGCAGGGAAGGGTGGCACCATGGATTCTGCACTGCCCTTGGACGGGACAGGGGTCGCTTCTCCTGGGCCTGCAAGGTCTTTCCTTCGTCCCAGGAGCTCTGCCCTCTGTAATACAACCCCGGAGGCCAGTGGTCAGGCCGCTGGAAGGGGCAGCAGGTGATGGCTATTTATAGCTGCCTCCCTACATTTATTTAAAGGCTGGTGCGTGTCCCCTGCCCCCTCCCCCCACAGCTTGATGCTCCCCGACACAGACATTCGTGGTCTCCTCCACAGCGTGTGTGTCTTCTGCTGCAGTGGGACCCACCTGGCTGACCATAGATTTCTCTGGCTTGCTGCCCACCCCGTCCCTGTTTGTTCCACGTTATGGGGTGCATGCGCTCTGGTGAGATCCTCTTTAAGAAAATGCACCCGGGCATCTCTTCCTCTCATTCCTGCACGCTCCTGGCCTCCAGTCCTGTTTGTTTGGCACCTAGAGCCCTGGCCCAGGACCCGGCTGTCCTGGGACCTCCTGCCTCTCTGGGTTCTGAGTGTCCCCTGGGCTGTGGCGCCTGGCCCAGAGACCTCCTTCAGCCGTTGACCCTGTCCTGGGCAGGCATAGGGCCACTTTGGGCTCCCATAGCACTCACCCTCAATATAAACACAAGTTCCTGCAGGCCCACACCACTGAGCTCTCAGTCTCCAACTGAAAGGTAGGCAGCAGTGCACCAGAAGAGATGCCTGGCAGTCACCAGGAGCCTCACCTGGAGGGTTGCCAGCAGGGAGTCAGCACCAAGCTGTGACCCCACAACCATTCTTGCAGGGCTGTGAATTTAGTATTACTTACACCCTCTTCATCTTCATCTACCTGGGTGGGTGGACAGACCCCTGGAAGATGGGACATGCTGGCGTAGAACAGTGTTCGTGGGCAGGGGGGAGTTCCTCCCCCACTGGCAACTAGCTGTCCTGGGGGCTGCCCAGGTTCCCACCTCAAGAGAGCTGCTGGCATGCTGCACTCTGGTGGATCTGGGGCATCAAGCCTGTGTGATTTGCTGCCCGAGCCTCGAGCTGAGTTCTCCGTGCCCCTGGCTCTGCTCCCTGACCCTGACGTGCTCTAGACGTTCATCAGTTCTCATAGCAGAGTCTGGCAATTCTGGGAGCGAGCCCTGCTGTCTGTGGCTGGGAAGCCTAGGGTTGCAGAAGGCTCTGGGAACAGGAACCCACAGGACAGAGCAGGAGGGCATCTGAGAGCTTGGAGGGGTGGGGGTGGGAAGGTCACAACAGGTCTGTGCCCTCTCGGGAAGAGAGCTGTCGTGAGTGGGCCGTCCTGCCCATCGGCCCCTGGTGGGCCTCCTGACCTGGCTGGATGATCAGAACCCTGCCAGCCCTCCTGTCCATCATGCTGTGAAAGAGCCCCTCAGCCGGTCATATTATGAGTCTATTTTGCAGTTGTTTGTGTTATTTTGCAACAAGAACCCTGAGCTGAAAGGTCCCCAACAGGCAGCATCTCAAACCTGACTCGGAGGCCCCCTTTCTGGTGGGATGGCACTGCCCCCCGAGGCTCTGAGAGGAGAGGAAAGCCCCATCTTTCTCCCTTGCAGTGACTGGTAGTTTGAACTGCTGATCGGACATTAGCAGCCTGACTCTGAGCCACCAGGGTGCCCTTGAAGTCACCGTCTTGCTTACTTGGTTATTTTCTGCCGCCAAAAGCTCCCGTAGGCTTAGTGTCTGAGAAGCAGAATCTGAAGACATGGGGCATCACCAATGATGCCTTGAAGAGGAGCTTGGTGGTACAGGGGCTCAGTCACGGGGCTGCTAACCACAAGGTCAGTTTGAACCCTCCAGCCGCCCATCGGGAAAAAGAGGAGACAGTCTGTCCCCATAAAGGCTGACAGCCTCTGGGGCTTCCAGTGTCAGTTCTGCTCTGCCCGCCCTGTCCGGTTTCTGGGAGTGGGGATCATTTGGATGGCAGGGGGAGTCTGCGTTGAGCAGGAGTTAGCAGCTTGGGAGTTAGCAGCTTGACTAGCTTGTTTCAAATGTGTCTTTTGCTGCTCCTCTGATTCCAAGAGCCCGGAACTCACCAGACCCCGAGGGCAGAGCGGGACTGCCCTTGGGCTTGCAGGGCTGTGGGACAGCGTGTGGGTCCAAACTGCCCTGCTTTCGGCTAGCAGCTGAGTGCCTCACCGCTGCAGCACCAGGGGGCTTTACTGCTGACCACAGAGAGCGTCTAGTGAAGCCCGGTTTCCTCAATGGCTGTCAGCTCTTTGATGAGTGTCTGCTTCGTGCCAGGGCTGGAGCCGGTAAGGCCACACAACAGGAGTGGGCTTGGCCACCCAGCCCTGAGTCTGAGCAGGAAAACGCTTATGGGGCTGAAGCCCCAACTCACCACCTCAGCCCTCCAGCTGGAGGCCCTGCAGCAGGCAAGTGTTCCCACCAGCCAGCCAGCTTGGAGTGAAATCCGTGATGGGCGATAGTCAAAATTCAAATTTATATGGAGAAGTTCTACTCCAAAACATTTTATTTATATTACTTATTGATTCCCATGCATTTTAAATAGTCATGTCTTGAAAAACCATAGATTTTTTAAAGGTTTATTTCAGCACGCTCTTGAACCCTGCGTGAATATGCACTGATTCCATATGGGAAGGCCCATGCGTCAATAAGGCTGCAGCCTGCCAGGTGCAGGGCCACAAACAGAAGGTCAGAGATGGACACACTCACCAGCTGCTGGGGGGCAAGGGAGGGCGGGGAGGGTGTGCAGTCGGCTCCTGGGACACAACGACCTTGGAGGCCCTGTGCATCAGGGTCACTGTGACTCTGAATCCAGGTGATTGCAGTGGGATTGATGGGTTGATTGGTTGGTGATTCCTGCTTTGATGGTGATTTGAACTAGGTTGTCAAGCAGGGACGGGGTACTTTTCCTTCCAAGTCTGGTTCCATCAGGAGTTTTCATTGCAGAAAGCCAGATGTTTCTTTATCTGGACCTGAAGAAAGGCTGCAGGTTCTTCCCAAAGAGCTGGAAATGTAACATGTCTTCCCACGGGTTTAAAGGAGTCTTCACTCCCCAGCCCCCCTTCCTGGTCCCCGCCTTCCAAGTATGTTCTTTCACTGTGGACCTCTTTACCTTGGGGACACCCATATGTGTACGTATATAAATGTATATTTATATAAAGAATCATCTATATGCCCATATATGTATATACAAGACAAAGATGTTCATAGCATATATATGCTTACACATATATTTATCTTATAACCACCAAAAAACCCCAAACTCAGTGCCATCAAGTCGATACCGGCTCCTAGCGATCCTCTAGGACAGGGTAGAACTGCCCCTGCAGGTTTCTGAGATGAACTCTTTATGAGAACAAAAAGCCTCATTTTGCTCCCGAGTTGCCACTGGGGGTTTCAAGTTGTTGACTGCAGTTAGAAGCCCAATGTATAACCACTATGCCACCAGGGCACCTTTTAACAGGGGTCTCAAATTTCATTATCTGATATGCAAACCCTACTGAATTGACAATAAAACATCAAAAAAATACAATGCATGTGTACACATCATCATCAAGTGACAACTCCTGGCGGTTTCCTTCAGCTAGTCAGCTCAGCTGGAAAAGAGACCAGGGAAGAAGCACCGGTTTGCCTCCTCTGGGGGCCTTTGTGGCACCCTCTGTGGGGGAGGGTCAGGCCCACCACCCCTGCACCTGGGTGGAGGTGGACCTGCAGGTGCCTGGGTCTCCCCCAGGAAGGAGCTGGCAGCTGGCCCACTCTCTCTGCCTGGTGCTCCTGGGCTGGTGGGCTCAGACCACAGGGGACAGAATTACCTCTCCTTTCATTGGAGTTCCCTGTGGCCCCTAGGGACCCGACACCGTAGGGTCAGCAGCTGGGCAGCCAGGAACACAACTTTGGGTCCATTTCTCTGCACCGGGGAAATCTCAGTTGGCAGGTGTTTGTAATTTGCCACCACTAATCCACTAAATCATTTTAGTTATGATGTACTGTGTGGATGCAGAGAGCAAGGAGACGTGGTAATTTTCTGTGCAGAGGCAGTTGTGAGTGGTCCAGAGAGTTGACCAGATGTTGTGCTCCACCCTGGGGACTCTGAGCAGGGTGGGGGAGCAGAGGGGCGCAGAGG